ACTGCACACTGCTGCTGCTTGGCAAAACTGTGAGCAGCAGCAGGAGCACTGGAGCAGGTTGGCTACCTACTCAACAATACATTTGCATAAGGGCTAGAAATGTAGTTAATTTAAAAGAAATGAAAGCTTCCCTGCTGCAGAAGTTGCTTTGGAACCCAAGGCAACCAAAGGAAAACCTCCTGCTTACTCTTGTAAGTGGATTTTTTTTACCCCAATGTACAAGACTAATCAAGCTTCAAATCTAGAATATTAAGGATTTATACACAACAAATGTTATTCCAATCCAAGCAAAAGTTGTATTGCTCTTGGCTTATGAGATGCAGGATTCTTCTTTCTTTTTTTAAAAAGTAGGCAAGTTCACTAATGCCACAGATATTCCCTCAACAATTTTATCTTCTAATGAATTTTCTTAAATATTTTATCCTGTTTACACAAAACAAACTGTGGTATCATTCTAGTCACCAGGAAATGCTTCTCCAAGTCGTAAATCAGTACACTGTTTGACAGTTTTAGTCTCTGCTTAAAGAAGACCTTTTAGTAACTAGCAGATCTAGACAGCCTTCTTCCATTTTTTCCAGGGAAGCATGGCTCTGTCTCAAATTAGACCTGACAATGTTAATTGATTTTCACATCTAAAGCAAACAATTATAGATTTTCTGCTTACGTGCAGAGTCAGTGAATATTGGACAAAAATTTACAGGCTATAAACTCTTTTTTTGATTAGCCAATAAAGTTGTGAAAGAACTTCAGCGAGACAGATCCAGCCCCCACTTCTGGCACATACACACCGCATAATAAGCAACAGTACTGGCATGTTCAATTCTGCAGAAGAGGCAGGCTATACAGACTCCAAACTCCTGCATACTACAAAAAAAAGCTCTGCAGGAACTTCAATGACTGTGTCTATGCAGATCCACTAGTCAACACCCCCATAAATCCCAGTAGAGTAGTCACAGCAGCTGCAAAGTCTATTGTCAGTTTATGGCTGTGATAGCAACCACAAAAGTGGCTGTGTTATATGATATGGTGGAGAGGAGAGAGGTGAGAAGATTTCATTCCTTCCCACACCCAAACCACACAGACCAGGATTTAAACTATATATAGGTGTAATAGAAGCAAAAGTTTTATAACCTCTAATACATGGACTTAATCCTGCAGTCCTGCTCAAGCAGAACTCCTATAATACAACTGGAGTTTTACTTAAAGACAGAAAGATCTACCACTAACTGTGGGGTTAAAAAAGCTCATTAGACAGAACAGAAGCTTAGATGCGGTCAAAGGCTGAAAACCACAGAAATCCCCTAAAATCACGAGATACACAATTTTGAAAATTACTTCTTTGGCATAGTCATCATTATTATCTTTTGTTTGTAATCACTGGTTAACCACCCACTAATGCTTGTGAGTTAGAGGGTTTGTTTCTTTTTATAGTACAATGACCCAGAACATTATAAAGACAGTATTTTTCATTTGGTCTGTATTTCTATCTGCAAATCTTTGGATACAAACCTGCCATGCCCTTCACCCCAGCATAAGATCATCAAGTTGAACTTTCCATTTCCTTTATCCACAAGATTTCTTGTATACCTGAAATGGAAAATATTTTTTCGTTTAAAAAAGCAAACAAACAAACAAACAAAAAACCACATGTGTGCGTATAAAGAAAACAACTACAAGGAGTATACAGAGGGTGAGGGCAGCCTATATTACAAGGTCCCTTCAATTTGGAAAGCAAATTATGCAGAAAAAGTGAAATGGGATTTTCAAGTAGTTTTTGCCACTCCACCTTTTCAGGTTGGAAAAGACTGGAGAAACAAATAACTGATAGCACCAGTGAAGCTTTTAAAAATTAAATCCAGTACTGAGGTTTAGAAGTATATATTTGGAACTGATGTAGACAAAATACTCTAATCAGAATAGTTACTGAATGAGGTCATTTCAACAAACGGCTTTATAATTAGAAACAGAGTACTGCAAGGAAGAAAAGAAAATAACTTTTTTTTCCTACAGCTCATTTTCACATTCTTGGCTTTCCTATATATGACTGCATTCTTTTGCATTCAGCAAAAAATGTTACAGTTTAGGGGTAACCACATATTGCTTCTTTTCTGAACTATTCTGGTTTTTTGTATTTATAATTCTTTTGTACATCTGAAACTCAGTACCAGCATGGTAATTTCTGTCAAACAGCTATGTCTAAAACAGAGCTCTGAAGAGGAGAAGACGCTAAAAAAAAGTTTCCTATAGTAAATCAAACACACAAAAGGAAATGCAGAAAAGGTATGCATTTTACATACATATTATTCATCGGAGTAATCAAGGGCTTGAGGCCCTCTTGTGACCCTAAACAATACAAGTAATTTCATTCTCTGATTCCTAACTGAAGGCCCACTTTTGCAAGCTTGCACATGGGTAGTCTAATTCAGTGGTTCCCAACTACTGGTCTGCAGACCAGTGCCGGGCCATAAAACGCAGGCTGCCAGGCCGCAACACACTGCCAGGCCATGCCCATGGAGCTGGGGTATATCCTGGGCACGTGGCCAGCAGCTGCCACAGCTAAAGCCAGCTGTTCATGGCAGCTCTGGGAATGAAGCTGGCTGCTGTGCTGGGAATGAAGCTGGCTGGGAATGAAGCTGGCTGCTGTCCCCCAGCACCGGCCCCCT